GAAAATATACATACAATTATTTGCCTTTCTAATTCCTTTACCAATAATTTATATGTGATAATAAGTGGACACTTCTATAATAAAATAATTTACCTAGTGGAAAACAAAGTATAAAAATAAGAAATGTATTAAGAAAGTCTCTTTCGGAGTTGTTGACAGGCTAGCAAATTTATAATTAATCCTAATAAAAGTCTTCAGCACTGTAATACTTTTGTTTTCTAGTCTTCCAATTTCAGTTCCTTACCTCTTTATATTCAATTTTACCAATTTAATGCTGTTTCTATAAATATTTAAATACACTTTTAAAAAAGATGGTAAAAATACATACACGCATACTAAAGCACATATAGCATGCACACACACAAAATACAAAGCAGCAAAAAGTACCTATGTACATATTTTTTTCAAATGTTTTCATGAATTGATTGCCTTTCCTTTCCTTTTTTTTTTTTTAAGATTTTATTCATTTATGCATACAGAACTGAGGCACAGGCCAGAGGTGCAGGGGGGGTGAGAGGATTCATCAGAGACAGTGGAATAGGCAGACTGATGAAGTACACCACTGAGGGGAGCAGTGGGCGATACAGGAGAGGTCGGCTGCACCATGTGGATCACGGTCTGGGCCAGGATAGAACTGGCACTGAGGAGATGGCAGCTAACTTCCCAGTACTGTGTTTTAACCCTTTGCGCCACCAGGGAGGACCCTCTTTTAAAACTTTGAAGCAGATATTCCTTAAAGTGTAATGTAAAATAATCTTTATAAAATATAACAACATTAGGAGAGTGATAGTAAATGCATTCCCTAACATGGGTCTCAACCACAGTGAGTATTTTTGGATAGATTTAACAACCATTTGAAAAAGAATTTTTTCCAAAGGGGTAAAAAATATAAACCTACCTTCTAATGCTCTGGTGTCATTTTTAAAAACTTGTTTTCTAGTCCTGTGCAGTGTTCTAAAGAGCTGCAAAACCTGTAATGAAAATCAGAATTCAAACTTCAAAGGAAAAAAATTTCACATTCTACCTAGTTATAAGGATTAAGTAGCATTTTTCTGTTTGTTTCTGGGCCTATTATCCTCAAAATAGCAGAGGAGTTGAAATAGGTAAAAATCAAGGTTTGTGAAATAACTTTCAAGTTATTATTTCAAAAAATTTGCTTCATGTACAAAATTAATACAATGTCCTGTGAAACAAAACAATATAAAGACGGTTAGAAAGTTAATGTCCCTCTTTCAAAAACCAGTCCATAAGGGAACTAACTTTACTAGTCTGATATGTAGTTGTTTTCATTTTTATTAACTTATTAAGTCTTCATCTGCTCTTAAAGTCAAACACACGTATACATACTAATGAATTTATTGCATCTTAAAAGAGTCTAAAGGAGGAGGTTTTCTAGGCAAGTTAAACAGTGATTTCTTAAAAGAGAAATAGAATTCTGAGCCCTACGAATATTTGAAATATCTGCTAAAAAAACACACACACAAAAAAACTATTAACAAAGAGAAAAGAGTGTGGCATTTTAGTAAAAGACAGACTGTAGAGAGGTTTAGTGACAGACAGGCCAAGGCAGCCTCAACCTTCTCAAGTCGAAAACAGTACTCATTATTTCCTTATTATTGCTCTTTCTCATTTCTTCTCAATTTCAGTATGGAAGACCCCAAATTTCTGAGGTAGAAATCTCTAAATCTTATTTCAAATCTACTTTACTCTTCATGTAGAAACTTGAGGTCTCTCTAGACTTACATGTTTTATCCATCCCTGAAAATTAAGTTCAGACTCCCCATCTTTTGCTTAGTCTACTCATCAAAATTTGTCACTTTACCACCGTTCTTTCCTTTTCTCCAGTTCATTCACAGATAATAATATCTAACATCTACTGAGAATGTATTGTGTGGTAGGTACCATTTAAAATATTTTACATTTTACGCATATTTGAAAAGTTACAACATCAACGGGTAACACCAAAACAGTAACAGGGAGCAAAAACAATAAAAATCAAATCAAATCAAACAACTATAATGAACTTCTTCAGAAATATACTCCTGCAAAATGGAATATAATAAAATGGAATAAAAAAAGTTTTAGTAAATAAAAAAAGGTATATTCAGAACACTCCCAAAGCTCTTGGATAGACAGAATTGAGAAACGTAGCAAAGTTTAAGTTGAGAAAAGCTACTCAGAAAGTAAAAAATAAAAATTCAGAGATAGAAAAACTGAGTGAAGGAAAGATTTTAAAAAATTCAGAATACTCCAGATGACCAAACATATACAATACTATAATTTCCAAGAGTTGAGAACAGATAAAACAGGTGAAAATAAGAGGGGAATCAAGAAAATGTCATCAATTGAGGCATTTGAATTACTATAAATTGAAAGGGCGCCACCAAGTGTCCAACCCATACCATAGAACACCATGAGGTAAGGTCAGTGCAGTGCTGATAAAAGAAAACTGAGAGAAAAAACAATTCACACAAAAAAGGAGAGAAAATCAGAATGACACCTACCTTTAAAATAGCATCACTGTGAGAAATTAATGGTATAGTGCCTTCATGTTTAAAAAAAAAATATATCTAACTTAGAACACCATATATAGTCAGACTATTACCTAACTGCAAGAGCAAAGTGATACATTCAGAAATTCATGAAATGTCTTATCTCCTGTACATCCTTCTTGGAGATCTATAGAAGAACGTACCCCACTTAAACAAGGTGATGAACCCTGAAGAACAAAATGTGGGAACAAGGCAGACAGGTGGCCTGACAGCACAGGAGAGGCAGAGATGCTGGTGAGGGACAAATACAGGTTAGGATTTGTGTAGCCAGTCTAACAACAGGGT